TGTTTTTGTTGCTGCTGGTTGGTTGATTAGTTGGTTATCTTCATCACCTCCGTCTTCTCTGTGTTCACTTGATGGCCAGTCTTCGCCGCCTGCAAGTCTCTTCTTCCAGTTTGTTGGTTTTTTCTTGTAATTCTTCGAGTGTGTGCATCATTGAATGTGAATCATCCACCTCGAAATCCACATCTTCTAGAGTCTTCTTATCGGTGGTCCAGTATATTCCTGTCTTCTCGCTTCCCACTAGCAGTCTGACGCATGATCCAATCCACCAAAATTAAGAAAATCACAGATGATATTAGACAGTCGGCCTTTTCTAACTCCCGTCCTTCTTTAAAGAGCTGGATGTTCTCCTTAAAGAAGACCTTCCCTGCAGCAACACTAAGAGTGACGTTCTCTAACCGCTCACTACTTCGAAACAATGTGAAGGATAAACTCTCGCATATGACCAATTCAATAAGCATACACCAGTTCACCTGCTCGTGCGGCGCTAGGTACATAGGTCGCTGTATGCGCGTCCTTTCAAAACGTGTTAGAAAAAATTACCCAGTGTGGCTGCGAAGAGGAGGCACCGGTTCAATCAGAAGTGTCATTAGTGAATATCTGATCAACACCTCCCACAACATCTCAACTGATTCATTCAAAGTAATTTACTAAGTCAACAGAAATCTACCAAAAGAAGTATGACTCCGAATTCTCTGTACTGTAGAAGCCCTCGCAATATGCATCAAGAAGCCGGAGCTGTGTGTTCAAAAGAAATTAGTCCAACCTCTAGAACTACCAAAGACCTAGTTTGGTATGTTCCCTTAGCCTCCTTTTTTCTTTATTTTTCTGTTTTGATCTTATTTCGAATCTTTTTTTCGTTCGCTGTGTGCGTGTGTGTGATTCTTCTCTGTTTGTCTTCATTCCATTCATCCCATTTCTGTTTTCAGTTATAAAAACAGTTATTCTAAGTTTGTTTCCATGCTTTTCCTGTTCACATTTAAAATAACTATTTTACAATTATATCCTAATCTTGTGAAATTTTTGTTTCTTTCTTAGTCTCTTGTAATCTATATTCGCACCTCCTAACTTCCATTTCAAATTGAAAATTATTATTTCAATTTGTTTCCAAGCTCATTTGTTTTAACACACACGTGGGCTAAAGACTAAACGCTTAGGCATTAAAACACCAGACATCCGTCTCGCGCTTATTCACCTGATTTACACCGCTGATCTTCCGATTTTCTATTCTTTAATGCTGTTAACAGTATCAGTCTGATTAAATCAGCACTTTTGTTTTGGTCACTGTTTACACGTGGTTATATTTAATAAAATATAGATTTTGTTTTTGAACAGAGGAATTTGTTTTTACCAACAAGGAGTGAGGCTAATTAGTTAACATTAGTAAGATGAAATGAAACGGTGCAGGTCTTGTGCAGGTCTACTACACACAGATATGTATCACACTGGAACACTAATTACTTACATTATTGTGGTACAGTTGATCTACCGACTAACTAAATGACTGACTGAGTAAATAATGCCTCGCCTATTCAATGATCAAATGATCTACCTTTTACGTGTAAGATTATCAACAGCATTACATAATATTTATGTTTATATAGATAAGATGAATAAAATGTAAACAAACAGTTTTCATAAAACGTACTATTTATGTAGTTGAATCAAACACATATTAATAATTTGATTCATAAACCTCGTAAGTGTACAAGCTAAAGTTAATATTACTGACCTGATAGTGTGTATAGTTCAGCCACACTGAAGGTTCAGCTTCGATTTGGAACTGGGTCACATACATTCCTAAACCTTGTCTGAGGTTGGACGTGGTGGGGATAGTAGTCACATGCAGTAAAATTAACCAAACATTCCCTCCTGTCTCCTGAAACTTTAAAAGCCCTGTCTGTCTATGTTCTAGTTGGAATTCAAGGAAAAGGAATGGAATTATATAGATGTGCAGAAATCTCTTGAAAATGACATTGTTCAATTTTTTTATCCAAATGCCCATTAATATTTCTATTTCTAATCTTAACCCTGTGGGTGCGTACTGTCGATGAGTCGATGAGGCTAGGATGAAACAGCCAGCTGTCCAGTTCTCCTTGGTTAGTTCTCTAACTGACATCAGTCCGTGGTTAAAATTAAAATAAATGAAATTACTACAAACAAACTCTTGAAAATTGAATGGATACTCGCAGTGCGTTGGTGGCACAGCGGTGAAGTGCTCGCCGACCACGCAGGTAGTCCGGCCCCGGCCACTAGAACACTTTCTTACTTTGCCAAACCGGTAATTAAGTTGGTAAGAAGGGAAGGTTGGTCATGAGGCAGGCTAGCAACCCCATCCCGTAAAAATAAACACCACCACTACAGAAACTTCAAGCCTCTAGCTTGAAGCCCTATGTCCCACTGGGAAAGTAAAGGAATACAAGAAAAACTCACTAGACACTGGTTACAAGATGAAATTAACTGGAGTTCTGTTGAGAAGTCATGACTGGCAGTGGAGTCCACCCGGCCGAAATAGAGGACAAATACTCACCACCGATGACATTGGCTTTTGCTAGTCTCACTAAAATCATGACATGAAAAGGCTAACAGTCTTTCATCATAAGTGTCTGCGTTCTATCTCCCATGTTAGTTGGTACAATAGGGTGAGCAATATTGAGGTTAGGCGTCGAGTGCTAGGTAAGGAGGGGAAATCAGTCGACGAGACTGTGAAATTACATCGACTGAGATGGTTAGGACATGTGCCACGTTTGCCTAGTCATTGCCTTCCTCGACGGGTAATGTTAGCTGATATAGGGTCAGGCTGGAAAAGAGCTAGCGGCGGTCAAACGAAAACATGGCACCAGTCAATGAAATCCACAACAGTTAGTCTAAGCCAGTCACGTAGGAAGGTGTAGACTTCCTGACTAGTTGGGGTCCTCGGGACGGTAAAAACCAATGGTTGGAAACAATTGGTGACATGGCTCAAAATCGTTCTCAATGGCTGGAGCAGATGCATCCATTCCTTGTGACTTATGATTTCGAATGAAACTGTTTTGTTCTCCATTATTACTATTCCTTTGTCTCACACCTCTGTTTACTGTCTATATTATGCATTTCTTCTCCTGCTTTGTGTGCTATATGGAATGTGGCGACTTGAACAGCCGCACATATGTGCAAAGTTCTATGTCGAAAATCGACCGACCGACCACTAAAATCATGAAATGTTGGTGAAGTTAGGATCCATGGAGTGTCCATTATGTCAGATTCCATTGGCTGAATGATCTTCCAGCTCGCCTTGTAACTGCAAGATCTTGGCTAGAACGCTGTAGATGAGTGAGTACTGCTGATGAGTCACAAACACTAGGATGAAACATCTGTTCACTACTCCATGCTGGTTTTCTAATGGTTCTCTAACTGATATCAGTCTGTGATTTAAACTGGTGTTAAAGTTTTTTTAATAAGCAGTTTAAACAGTTGATCGGTTTAAAACTGGGAGAATATGGTTTGATGATGTTGTCCAATTTCTTGTGATGGTGTGCTTATAAAAAATGCAAACTAAATATCACCATCTGTGGACGTCAAGGTTATAACAAAGTTACACAGAATACACTTTTTCATATATTAGGCTATGGACATACCTGATGTATGTGTATGGGCTGATGCCAAGTAATATTTGAGTGCTCAGGTTGGAGAAAGTAAACCGGAACATAAACCTTGAACCACTTTTACTGCTGGTGGAAGTCGACTACTAAAACCCACGATCTACGTCTTCATTTATTTAGTAGTAATTATGAGGAGTGAAAAGATGGGCGTACTTTGAACCTAACAGATCAGATGGCTGGCCGGAAAGAGTGAACAACAAGGAACTAGGTCAGTGTACCAAGAATCTGTTGCCTAACAAATATGCAGGAGGAAATAGAAGTGGATTGGTCATACTCAGGGGAGATCATTGAGTGACATCACCCCCCGAGGAAGACCTTCGAGTGAAATACGAATAGAAAAGGACCAGTTGAGAGTGGGTTTTGGGGAGTAACATGGAGGAGATCATATGGGGAGGAAATGAAGGCTTATGAGCACTTGTGGAGCCAGATGACTGACTGACGGATTGGTTTCAACGTAGAACTACTTTGCAAAGATGTGCACCAGTTCAAGTTGCCACACTCTCTCTCAGTATAGCATACAATCCAAGAGAAGACAGTTAAGAGAGATTCAGCCAAAGAGAGGGAGATAATAGACGGAAATATGAGGATATGGATATGACAAACCACAAAGAGTGAATGCACCCCCTCAAGCCAATGTGAACGATTTCGAGCCATATCACCCCCAATTGTCTTCAGCCTTCATTGGTTCTTACGATACCGAGGACCCCAACCAGGAAGTCTACATCTTCCTACGTGAGTGGCTTAAACTAACTCTTATGGACTTCATTGATTGATAAATCCATGTTTTTATTTGACCACAACAAGTTATCTCTTTTCCAACCTGATCCATCCTTTGTCCGCTAAGATTGCCCATTGTCGAGGAAGGCGATAGATGGTTGGGCATGTGTAACACATGTCCTAACTATCGCAATCGATGTGGCTGCTTCACGCCCTCGTCGATGGATTTCCCCTCTTTACCCAGTGTCACTCGACCGAGGCCTAATCTCACTATTGCTCACCCTATTATACCAAATAATTCCAGAGATAGAACGCAGACATCTAGGATGAAAGAAAACCAGCCAGCTGTCCATGCTTTTTCATGTCTTCCACTTTCAATGACCAAGTCTCACTCACAGGCAGCCATAAAGGAGGACGGAGCGGACTGCCTTTGAGGAGTACACACGCCCTTTGGTCGATAGCCAGAACCAGATAAGTCAGACTGAGAGAGAATAGAATGAAGCCGAGATGTACTAGTGAATCCTCATGTTCCAATAAAAACTCAAGGAAATAATAACAGTGATAATCATATAAATATATATGTAATAATTATGCATTGCTTTGCTTAACTTTTTGTTTTCAAAATTCTCTATTCACTTTTTACAGGGTCTATTGAATACCTACTTTTCTAATTGGCTTCAAGGTGGTATATCCCATCGGCTTCCATGTACATACAATTGTATTTGTCGTATATCAGAGAGTACACATTTTGAATTTTATACAAGTCGATCTGCCTGGGTTCAATTCGGTGGTACAATACGTGTTGCACATTTCTCTGGTTCTATAAAACCATGGCATAAAACATCAGCAGCTAAAACATGCAGTCAAGCAGCATTTCGTACATTCCTTAATACAAATACAAGTAGACGTTCAATATCTCGTGTAGCTGGCATGCTGGCCTATTGGTGGTCACTATTTCTTATTTTAATACGACCACATTTTTCACCTGATATGGTAAGTCTATTAACAACGCTGAAAATAAATTATAATTATATAATATTCTTGTGTGTATCCCAAGGATCCCCAACCAGGCTGTTTGCAACTTGTTATGTGACTGGCTCAAACTAGGTTGATTGATAACAACTAACATTGATTGTCAAGGAAGACGACAGTTTGGCGTGCGTGACACGTGTCCTAGCCTCATGTCAATCGATTTAGCTTCACAAATGTATCATCGAATGAAGTCTACATTCTGTTGCTAATTCGTAAAATGGCTTATTTTATGGTCAGTAACAATGAAGATGGTTGTAGAATAATGGATAAGGATGGAAATTCTCTTGATTTGGTTGTGAATCCGCATTGAATGAAATGGTTAAGATATATTTTATTGATTTTTAACAGTTGTTTATTCTCGGCTGGCAATGTTGACTGATGTAGCATTGAATCGAATGAAACATAAGATCTGTGGTGAGAACTGTCTGCAAGCCAAAATTGTAGACAACAATTTACGTCAGTGTTTACGTCCCGAATCGGGGGCATGAGAGAAAACAATTACAAAGCTTAGTCTAGAGGAACTCATCAACCAATCACGGCAGACTTGACGTGTGCAAATACTATTCGTAGACATGTGGCTTAACTTTCCAAGAAACGGATCACCTGCGTGGTCGGCGGGCAGTCTATCGCTGTGCCACTGACTCACCTTAGCGTATTTAGTTACAAGTAAAATAATAACCTGAAGTACATCATGTGACACAGTGTTATTCTAATTGAAAAGAGAGATCCAGTTCTTCACGATGTATTCTCCCATTATTCCCGTCGAGAAATGTAGAACATTTTATTGTTGAATTCACGTATTATTATTACTTCCTTTAATTCCTAGAGGAACATAGGGCTTCAGCCGTGCGTCTCCATTGCATTCGGTTCTCTGCTAGAGTCGTCACCTGGCTCCATGTCTGCCCACACGTTTTCATCTCCTCTTCACATCACCTCCTCCAAGTCACCCTTGTACTGACGACCAACTCACCGCTTCCCTTTCGGGTTCCAGTTGAGGCCTTGTCTAGTGATGTCACTTGATGGTTTCCTCAGAGTATGGCCAATCCATCTCCATTTTTTCCTGCCTATTTGTTGCACAATCGGTTCCTGCTGTGTTGGTTCGCTCATTGCCAGAGATCCCTCTCTGTTGCTGATCTTTTCTGGCCATTTGATCTTGAGTAGTATTGAGCGAAGACAACTGTTAATGAAGGTCTGTAGTTTGTTTGAGATGCTCTTTATGACGCGCCAAGGCTCTGATCCATCCGTACGGTAGCACTGACTTCGCATTGGAGTTGAAAATTGAGATCATATTTTTGATGCTGACTGCTGTTGACCTCCACACAGACTTGAGAGTAGTGAAAGCTTGTCTTGTTTTTCCGATTCTTGCTTGATATCCTCGTCAGTTTCGTGCACCTGTAGTTGAAACGATGCCTCCTAGGTAGGTAAAAGAGGTTGTTCCTTTCAGGTTCCTTCCATTTATGCTGATTGTTGTCTGTTGTTGTTGCTGTTGGTGGTGTTGGCTAGGAATTTTCATCGCCTCTGTTTTCTCTATAATCACCTGAAGGAAGCCCTATCTTCTCTGGATGCTTCTTCTGCAAACTTGTTGCTTTTCGCTTCCACATCTTCCAGTTTGTGGGAAATCAGGCATATTTCATCATCGGCGAAGTGTAGATCCTCCAAGTATTTTGTGTGAGTCCATTTTATGCCTGTTTCCTCATTGGCCGATGTTTGTCGCATTATCCAGTCTACTGCAATTAAGAAAATCATTGACGATAGTAGGCAGCCTTGTCTTAATTCCGTCTTTACTTCAAAGGATTCTGCAAGTTTCCCGTTGTGGATTACTTGGCGTGCAATGTTGTCGTAAAACTGTTGGATGAGATGTATAATTGTCGGCGGCACCCCGTAGTAGCGAAGTAGTTTCCAAATCACCTCTCGATCGACGCTGTCGAAGGTTTTTTCAAAGTCAATAAAGTTGAGATAGAGAGGTGACTGTCATTCCAAGTTTTGTTCAATGATGATCCGTAGTGTGGTGATCTGATCAATACATGACTTGTTTCTCTTAGTGATCAGTGAATATATAATTGAAATAATCACTACACTAAGAAATTCAGAATAGTTTTAGGATGGATGTAAACGTTGTTATTTCAGTGATTTAAGCATGGCTGCCTTCGAACAACAAATCAATCGAATTCAATCACTCAGACGATACCCACGAGTACAGTAACAGGTGTAACCATCATAATGTCACCGAAAGCGGAGTGAAAGCAAGTCAATTCCTCCTGGAATACAACTTATTTTTGTCGACATTAGTTGCGAATTGATTTATATATATATATATCCTTACCTTTCAGAATTCATAGTATTTAAAAGTTCCTTTTCAGACTGGCATAAATGCATGCAATACTGTCCTAAAGATACCTTCATGTATTATATTCATATTTCATTCATTGGGTTCCCTTGATAAATTTCGATAGAGAAAAATAAACCAGATTTCCAGTATAAAATGATATCATCACCGTTCTATTTCACATGTGCCCACCAGTGAACTGCAAACCACTACCTGAAATTACAATGCTTATAAATAATAACATTTCATACTTCAATGTTTGAAAGGTAATAAAGAAAACATTATAAGATGAACGCTTCCGGAATATAAGTATTACAATTTTTAGTTCAGGCCACCATCAATTCATATTCTATCAAACTACGAGAAGTAAAATGGGTGGGAGAAGGCAGAAAACAGAAAAATCTAATAAGCAGTGTTAGCCTGTACGTCAACATGGCAACTCAAGAAGGTTTAAGTTCATCAAATTGAAAACTTTCTTAGTGAACTGAGCTCACTAGTGTGCATGACTAATCAGTCTAATGAAAGTAATACGGTTACCAGGGAAGTGAGAGAGTGACTGACTACACTCTCTTTCTGTGTGCGTAAGTTTGGTCTGAGACGTTTGATTGAAATTGCTTCAGCAAATCGTAGTAGGTTCTTCGTCCTTTGTATGTTTAATATTTTGAAGGACTTGGAAATCTCGACGAAATGACCTGCATCCACAGGATGGGTGTCTGGTAATTCCACTTTGTAAATAACTGCTTTCACTTAAGCATAATTTTCTTGGAATATGCTCTGAACATAGAAGACCTGGATTTTGCAGATGATTTATGTTTGATGTCACACAAAATCGAAGATTTACAAGTGAAAACCGACTAACTGGTCGAAGAAGCAGCAAAGACAGGACTCCAGGTGAACATAGACAAGACGGAGGTTATGAAAATAACCAACCAACAAACAACAACAGCAGCAACATCCAGAGCCAATCACCATCAACGGGAGGGATTTGATGAAATAGGTTACTTCATTCACTCACTTATCTAGGGAGCATTGTCTCAACTACACGAGGAACGGATGAGGATGTCCAATCGAGAATCGGGAAGGCGAGAAACACATTCATCAACCTGAAACCAATCTGGAAATCTTCGTCACTTAGAATCAACAACAAAATTCCGATTTTCAATACAAACGTCAAGACTGTCAGCTCTTCTATACGGATGGATCAGAAACTTGGCGGCGGGTCACAAAGAATGAGTATTTCCAACAGCCTGTTCTAGACCTTTATCAACAGCCGTCTTCGTTCTATACTGAAGATTAGATAGCCTGAAAGAATCACCAACAAGAAGCTACGGGAACAAACAAATCAGGAACCAATCGTCCAACAAATATACAGGAGAAAGTGGAGATGGATTGGACACTCACTGGCTGAGGAGGCCGTTGGGTGACATTGCGCGTCAGGCCATAGCTCGAGTGGAACCCGAAAGGGAAGCGGCGAGTGTGACGTCCAAGGGTGACATGGAGGAGATCGTGTGAAGAGGAAGTGAAACAGTATGGATTAACATGGATGCAAGTGAAAAGTACAGCAGAAGAGAGAAGCAAGTGGAGGCGTGCAGTTGAAGCTCTATTTTCCACTAGGAACCCAAGGGAACAATATTAATAATAATGCTCTGAAAACCGGATATCTGCCAGATGCGTTCATCTTATAATGTTTTCTTTATTAACTTTCAAACATTGGAGTATGAAACGTCAGTATTCATAACCATTGTAATTTCAGGTAGTGGTTTGCAGTCAGCTGATGAGAGCCTGTAAAATGGAATGACGAAATCATTTTATACTGCAAATCTGGTCTGGTATTTCTCTATCAATATTCACATTTGTGATCTGCTCATTTATATCGTTAATGCACGGTTAGGTCTCACACACATATGTACTTCATAAATTAGCCATCCAGGAATAACATTTTTGCATATATTTGATGTAACATAAAGACTTTAACATGTGTATATGTATCATTTCTAATTGTCTTGTCATCCATTTCTCATCCCATACTCATTTTCTCCCTCTCTCTTTCTCTCTCTCCGATTTTTGCTTACGCGTCTTCACTACACATGCGTGGGTACATATTTTTTAAAAACAAATCTGTTTTTGCCGCTATCACCGCCATTGTTGTGATTCTCGCTGTTTGCTTGCCATATCTCCACTGTGTTTTTTATGTGTGTGTGTGTTTTCTGTTGATCATTGATTGCCATCTCTATCGCCGCCACTGCCGCCGCCATTAATGCTGCTCCTTGTCTCTCTCTCTCGCTCTTGCTCGCTTTTATCATGATTTAAAAATCTGATCCGATCAATTTTATTATTGTTGTTGTTGTTGCTGTTGTTGCGATTTTTGTTCTTGATCGCTGTTCACCGATTGATTCAAATGTCCATATATATATTCATATATGTATATATAATATAACACTTGTTTTAAAACGGAACCATGGTTTGCTTTTACGTTGATTGTTTCCCCTCATTGGTGTCTAGTACTTAGGTTATATTTCTTTAGAAACTTTAAGAAAGTATGAGCAATGTCAAGGTTCATTAAATAATAATAATAATCATAATAACGCAGTGAATTACAATTCACATTCTAGTCATACTTCTGAAAGTTCTAACAGTAGTAATAATGGCAATAATCAACACTCATATACACCGTATTATCCAACATTTCATGAACAACATAAACGACACGATTCTTCAACTATGTCTGCACAACAACAACCATCAACACCGCCAGAATTTCTTCAGCTACCTTATCATCCAGAATTTCATGATACAACATGGGATTATTTGCATAGGAAACAACGTATTGATGAGGATAATCGTTTTGTTGAACATCATAATCATCATCAAACGAGTGTTGGGGAACAATCGCAGACTGTACTTCAACCTCAGCTGAATCTTTCATTATCAGGGATTAGATATGATCAAGAGAAAAATGAAAGAAAAGTTGTGCAGCAGGAAAATCAACATCAACCTCAGGAACATCATCAGCATCATCAACGTCATCATCACCAACATCATGAACCTCAACGTCATCATGAGGAACACGTACATCATCATCAACATCACCATCATCATCATCAAGATCCTCAGCAACACAAAGTGCATCATGACACGACTCAGGTAAAACCTCCTCAGGATCAACATCAGCAGCACAGTCACCACGACCATCATCATCAACATCATCATCATCATCAGGAGAATCAAAGTATAAACTGCAATCATCAACACTTTGAACATCAGAATATCGAACATGAACAACATATTCATCGAAATGAAGAAAATAATCCACAACACAATGATTGTCATGTTTCCATTGACAATAATTATCAACCTAGTACAGAAAAATCAAATACTGAAATTATATCTGAGCAGAAAGAATCTCCTCCGACAAATGCAGCATCCACTGATGAAAACAAAACACCAATTTCAATACATCCATTATTAGCAGAGTCAGTGAATAAAAAAACACCATCATTGAAATTAGAAACACACTATTCGTTAAATTGTTGTAAGTGTCATGAAGAGATGATTCGGCAACAACACCGACACCAACAACATCAACACCATCAATCTCGATCACAGCATATGACAGGTGATCCTCTAAAAACAAGAAAATATAGTTCTGAGAAAGATGTCAGCCTTAAACAAATCACAAAAAAGACAAACAGGCGACATAGTTGTTATGGGTTGTTTGTGAAACCGTCTATAGCAAAAAAGTTAATCTCTCCAATGAAACAAGTGAAGAATTCGTCAAGTCATGATAATATTCAACAGAAAAATGTCAGTGAAGGTGATGACAACAAGTTGATTACAACATCAATGACGCTGAAGCAAAATCATGCGTCTACTGAGAAAGATAAACTCACAAAACTCTCTACAAGTGAAAATGTTTTAAATCATAATTTGGAGAAAGTTTCAAGTAATGATGAGCATAAATCATCGAAATTATTGAACAACATGAACGATATTCCCATGAGTAGTAATTTGCATAGTTTAGATTTAGCCTCTCCCTCACCTAAACCATTGAATCCATCAATTATTGATCATCAGTCTCATGTTAAGGTCATCAATAGGTCAAATATGTATGAAGCGCCTATGGAGAAAGAAAACCAAACGGTCAATTCTGTTTCACAACAAAAAATCGATCGTTTGTTATATAAACGAAGCATATCTAATGAAGAGAGTAGACAAAGCTTGGATACAACTTCTTTGAATTCTCAATTGGAGAATATCAATGGTTTACATCGATCAAAAGTGAAACGTATGTCTTTAGGCGAAATGATGAACACGTCATCAAGTGGTAGAACATCGTTGTCGTCGGTATCGTTGCAGCCATCATCAACTTCACAGTCAATAGCATCATATCAGGGAGAAAACATGACTTCACAAATAACAAAAATGACAACAAAATTAAGATCAAAAAGTTCAAAAAGACGTTCATCGGATAAGATAACAAGAAGAAGACGAAACCAGGATTCGCCTTGTGCGGAGAAGGAGACATCTTTTTACATTCATAAGAAAAATCCATTCAGTATAATTACATCACATTATCTTAGCTCTAGACATACAACATTTCGACGAAATACGGTAAATGATACTCAGAGGGGAAAAGAAAAGTTTTTTTCAATGCCTTTCGTTTGCTTTTTTGCATGAATAAACACTCTTGTCTATTAATATATGTGTAAAACTTTGGCAGCACTGTGGTAGTATGTAATTCCATATTAATTTGGTTATTAGATATATCACTCAGTCAGCCAGTGAAACAGTATTACTGTGTACTGTATGATGAGGTTTCGAACACAATTCATTGTTGTTCATAATCATATCATCAATTATAATCACACAACCTAGAAACTTTCGTTTCTATAGTTTTCTTTATTGTTTCCTATTTATGAATTGGAAAGTCAGGAAGGGGAACTTCCAATGTTAGATTGTAGTGTAGAAAGGAAAGAAGACGAGAAGTTAAACACACTAGTGTTCACATGAAACCCACGCATTTTAACCGACATTCGGATTTCCGACCACCCTCACACACCCATGTCAGCAAACATGGGGTTGTTGAAGTGTTTAAAAAATATGGCACAAAAACTAAATAGTACCAAGCAAAATCTAAGACGCGAAGTGAGGTATATAAAAAGAGAAGCTTTGAAAGTTGATAAATACCCTGATAAATTATTCGGGAAATATGTAGGGAAATGTAAAACTAAAATAATAATATTAATGACGACATGCATGCCAAACATGCACAGGATAATGACAGCACCAACAACAAAGCCTTTAAATCATAAGTAGTACTCCCGTACCAAGAAAAAACCTCGGAACCCCCCTTACATAGAATTATTATGAAGGCAGGCAGAAATAAAAATGGCTGGCATTCACACCATCCACAAACTCAATTGGGAACAAGCTTTGTCGGTTAAAGGATCAATCCTGTGGAGCCAATTAAACAGAACAAATTAGTTTATCTAATACCCTGCCTGCAATGATTGTCAGGTCATATACATAGGTCTAAGTAGTAGAACGGAGTCAGTCAGACTAGCGGAGCAACACGAAAACCTATCAAAACCTAGATTATTTAACCCGAATAACAAGATAAGAAATTTGGAGAACAGGATAGTTCAGCTATAGCACTCACTACACGCAATTACACACTGTCATACAATAGGATGGATGGGATAAGATGGCAGTTTTGAAATCTAATATCACAGAAGGGTGGAAGGAGAGATTGATAATTGAAACTTTATTTATGGACTCAACTGAGAGGGAATATGTGTAATAGGAATGATTCAACACTTGTCCAGTCGGACATCTGGAAAATTCTACTACCCCTACGACGACGAATAGGAAAGAATAAAGAAAACTATGGAAACGAAAGTTCCGAAGTATAATTGATGATATGATTATGAACAACAATGAATAGTTTTTTAAAATGGTGGTCATCCATTACACAGCAATACTCACTATGTGTTCCTGATATATCTAATAAACAAATCAATACAGAATTGCTGTCTGTTGTCATTTTTCCCTAGATATCTCTCTATGTCTGTCTTATACTCCCTCTATCCCTCTCTCTCTCTCCCTCTCATCGCCATCATCATCTTCTCCCTAATGGTGCATGCTATTCATTGCAGTTTTATTTAAATGTTTAAATTAGTAGAATAGTTAACTTGTGTTGATTACTACTCACACGCAATCACCTAGTAGTAGTGCGTTATCCACATAAGCGTTTGTCTCTGTGTCTCTCTGTCTGTCTGTCTATGTGTGTGTATGTAGAAATTGAGTTTACTCGTCTATATTGCTTTTATTTTTACTTTGATTCATGTGTTCGAGTTTTCCAATGAATTCAGCTCTGCTTGTGTTCGTCTGTGTTTGTGTGTGTCTGTGAGTGTGTGTGTGGGGGTTTATTTGGCTTTGTTTTTCGCCACTGCTTTGAAAATCTACCATACATGAATATCACTTAATCAAACGGTTGGTTGTTTCGTCCCACTTTGAGGCTCTTCGGGCTTTGGGGATTGAACCCGTGAATCGTTGACCATTCAGCCTATTTTAGTCGATTCCTGAATGTCTTCATGATTGTAAATCGTTGAATAGTATTAAACTAGCTTTCCAGTACTCTTTATTTCATTTTCAACGACTGTTTCTAACTGATATGTTGGCGGTTCATGATGAAATCCACATGACGAAATTAATCCAAATTCCAGGAAAAACCAAAGATGTGAATATAGGAGTTAATGTCAACTGTGATTTAAAATACTGAAAGAATAATCAGTCATTTACAATTTTTGGGCTTTATGATTGAGAAAAGCATATTTACAATTTTGTGAACAGAATGCTCTAAGTATCTGGTTAGTGGAGATGTCGAGTCCCAAAGAAGGAGGACGAAACAACAACAACAACAATAACCAGTACTCTCTGGTTGGTCCTCCAATGTTTCTCTAACCGATGTCAGCTCATGATGAATTCCTTAAACTAATCAAATTTCCCCCACCCCCCGCTACAGACCAAGACTTGAAATCCCAAAGTGTTGGTTTGCAGAGATCAGATTTATTCCAAATTAGATCATGGATATAGTTCACGGAATATACACATTGGATCATAGGAATTAATAAAAAAGACGGTTGCAGCGAAGAAAATTTTCTTTTCGACGAAGTCAGCATCAACTAGGCTTTACATTCGTGTAATTATAACAAATGGGTGGGAAAGTTCCAGAATAATCCCTGGTCGAGGGTCAGATTATTGAAATTACAATTAGGAATTAAAATGACATAATAAACAAAGGGACAGATAAAACTCAAACAAGGTAACATGATAATTACTGAGAAGATTGATATATTGTGCAATTAGGGATTAGAAATGTAGAAATAACAACAATAGACAGGATCTCTGAATAAAAATCTAGTGGGACCATAACTAATGCTGTGAATAATTATTTATTTAATCAGGGATTAAATATGTAGAAATAATAAAATAACAAAATAGACAGGAAGTTCGAATATGAAAATATGGTAGTGTAAATACGGATTAAGAAAACTTAAAAGTAACATGAATAAACAGGAAGTTTGCATAAGAAAGGCAATGGGATAGTGACTATTAGAAGAATTACCTGTTTATGATGGCCATGGCATGGACAGGGGTTGGACGTGTTTCTTTGGGATACATAGAATGGGTTTGAGCATTTAGATAGCTATTGCCTCGACTATGCCCAGATGTCTTGATTTTACTCCTTTTGATAGGTTTGATTGAATCTTGCATATGAGTTTGAAGGATTTTTCGAATGGCGCTTAATGTCCTGAATTGACCAGATGTTCTATCACTGAACTATATACACGTTTTCGTTCTCCTATTACTAGCCAGGCTGGATAGTGTCCACGAGCACGTTTCTCAAGTTGGTGCACAGTATGGCCGATGTACTCAGCTCCTGACGAGCAAGTAAACCGGTATATGCACGTTGAAGTAGCCCAATGCGATGGCTTGTCTTTCGTGTTCTGGCTGAAAAGTTTCTTGCAGGAAAATGTCAGTCGTAGGTTTGCGGCGAAATATGTTTTCGTCAGAGATTTGCAGAGGCGTTTACGAGAGATTTCTGCTTCAATGTCACCTTCGAATTCTAGATTAGGCAGAAGTATTTTCTTCGGGACAGATTGGACTTGTTCGGAAGTCTTCTTTGACTTGAGATTCTTATCTATGAACCTGGGTGAAAAACTGTTTTTCATCAGGGTTCTTTGGAGATTACGCAATTCTTCGTCAATCACTTACTCACTGCATATCTTCCGGATCCTTGGGGAGAGAGCGTATATAAGGTTCCTCTTTTTACTTAGGGACGTGAAGTTTTGAAAGTTGATGAATTGTCCATTCCGTGTAGGCTTTTTGTATATGGACCTTTTGAGAGAATTGTTGGCGTTTCTTGTCAGATGGACGTCGAGGAAGTGGGACATTTCGTCGGATTCAGACTCAAGAGTGAAGTCAGTAGGTATGACTTAGAGAAGTGTCCTATTTTGTGACTCTTCAGCAGGGAATATCCATGATTCTTCGCAGGGGATCCCACTCAGGATCTTCATGTTAAAACATGACCCAAATACCATTCAGCCATTGAGATGAAGTCTAGCATCCAGTGAATTCTGACTTCTACTCATTCACGGTACACATAGTCAAACATAGCGGTAGTCAGTATTATTGGAGGTGATTTGTCCTAACACTCAACTTAGTGGGCTCCACTGGTCACTGGTCACAACTTCTCACTTAAACTCCAGGCATCCTATTTAAAATGCAGGCAGATTGCATTCACTGTGAATACTAACCATTACTAACCACAGAAAGAGAAGAATATGAAGCTCGTGGAATCTTTGAAATTGTCACAGTTGCATGCCTTAGCTAAACCTTCATAATAATATTTATCAGTGTATATATATTTATGTATACATATATACTATATGTATCAATCTTTCTAGCACCTATTGCTCTATTATCAATTTATTGATCTGGCTTATATTATTTTGATTTTGTGTTTTCTTCTTCCCATACAAAAAAACATGCACTGTTGTTTCAAAAAATGGTTCTGTGTTTCTTCAAAACACTCAATCACTCACTCGCTCACTTCTGAATCTTAAATTCGCCTTTTTTCCTTCTTTTCTACTAGATTGGAATCGGTGGTGAACTGGCCAATGTAGATTTCGGCAAAGATTTATGCCTTAGACATGCACAAATTGAAGCTGCCAGCGTTGAACGGATGTATGCCTGGGAACGTGGTGAAATCGACTATACGGGTAGTGATCGTTTTATAAATATCCTGAATAAATTATGTACAACACTGCAATATGTTGGCGGTGAGGCGAATCTTCCTATCGGTATAGATGTCATCAAGTGAAGCATATATATATATGTGTATAGTGAGTGTTTGTAAAAGTGCTGGAATTGATTGATTGCGTCATTGTATGCTTCCAGATTTTTCATGATGACATGAGTAAGAGTGATATCACACACACACACACACACACAGACAAAACGAAGGAGTGAAGAGGCAATGATGAAATCTTGTAGTCAATCACTCTCTCTCTCGTTCTCTAGGTTCCACACACACATACACACGCACTCAGGCATGTACTCACTCACTCACTGGCACACATACAAGTTCTCTGTGTTTAGAAACAAATACGTACATACATTCACATATACACATACATCTATTTTTATTTTGCTTCAAAAGTTTATTTTCTAAGTGTATCAGTGAACACATCAAAAATAATCTAAAAAGTTTTTGTTAGATACACCGATCAATATTAGCAGCAGTGATATCTATATCTATATATATATATTTTCTACAAAACAAAAAGAAATTCCCAAATAATCCCCATTATTATTCAGTATCCATTCATATCCCCTTATCTTTGTAGCCCATTTTTTGCTTTTCTATAACGAGGAAAAACAATGATAATAATAATACTAATCAAACATACCAGTGGCTTTTCTTTTAGGGAAAGAGGGTGCTCATTTCTGTTCCCCTACTTTTGGTATTTTCATTCATTCATTCAGAAACCGATTTCAATTTTTTGTTGTTGAGTTTTTTATATACTACTGAAATGTGCTACTAGTATTGTAGCCGTATGACAAATGAGTACCAAATACCCGAGGTGACTACTCGTCTAACTGTCTGTCTACCTGCCTGCCTGCCGGCCAACTGGGCATATACATAATTAACATTACATAATACAATAAAACTTTATATTTTGATTTGATAATTTTGTTTATTTTGATTACATCTATGTTTGATAAAAAAGAGAACAAACAGTTTTCTTTTGTGATTGTAATGTGCGTGTTTGTATGTGTGTGTGTGATTTTGAAACGTGCACTTGTTCCTTATTACTATTATTATTATTATTACTGCTACTACTATTAGGCCTCTTAATTTATTACGTTGATTTCAAACTAATTTTCTCTGTTTTTTTGCACTCTGCCTCTTCGAGTCTGTCTCTGTCTCTCTTATCCAATCACTCACTCAGTCGGTCATTCATTCATTTATTATTGACAGAGAAATCGGAGGAGGTTGAAAAACAGCATGATGTTTTCGCTGTTTTGTTTTTCCACAGAAACAGGAAAATACGGAAAATGTGAGAAAAATAGAAAGACAAGTGTCAACACACAATCCTTTCCACTTTCTTCTCCTTCATTTTTGTTTGTTTGTTATTTTGTTTTCTTTTTGTAACGTGGAAATAAAGTTTGAAAACAAAATTCTTAGTTTTGGAATTTTTTACTCTACTCCACAGTGTAGTAGTAGTGTAACGACAGAAGACAAGGGCCAGGAAACAGATCGTTTATTGGGAAAATCAACAGATATTTATAGATTTTTATGTACATTATTATTAGCATTATTGTTGGCAGAGAGGTGACGTCTTCTGATTGGTTGTTTTCTTGCTGAAGATTATTCTGTCATTTCATCGTTGTGGTTTCTTAGAAAGTCAGGCCATATATCTGCGAATAGTATCCGCGCCCACGCTGAATCTGCTGTGATTGGTTGCTGAGTTAGTCTTTGTTCTTGTTTTATTTTCTATAGTTTGGTTTGTAAGGATTAGTTATGTTTTACGAGTTGATCACGGACTGATATCAGTTAGAGAACCATTGAAAATCAGGGAGTACTGGACAGCTGCTGTTTCATCCTAGTTTGGGAATCATCGGCAGAACGCACCCACTGGGATTCGAACCCAGGACCTTCCGGTTACAAGGCAAGCTCGTATACCATTCAGCCACTGGGACCCGATTCAACGGCTCATGAATTTTAACTTCTACCAATTCGTGATTTTAGCGCGACCCCAACTATTGTCGTTGGTGGGACATCCATCCACACACGTAACTTCTAATTGGACCTCACTGGTCACGACTTCTCACTAGAACCACAGGAAGCTCCAATCTGTAGCAAGTCACTAACTGATATCAGTCCGTGATCAACTCGTAAAACATAACTAATCCTTACAAACCAAACTATAGACAATTATTCTGATGCTCGCTAGTGACTTGCTACAGGTTGGAGCTTCCTGTAGTTCTAGTGAGAAGTCGTGACCAGTGAGGTCCAATTAGAAGTCATGTGTGTGGATGGATGTCCCACCAACGACAATAGTTGGGGTCGCGCTAAAATCGCGAATTGGTAGAAGTTAGAATTCATGAGCCGTTGAATCTTGTTTTATTCCCACAACCAAGATATCGGACGTAAACATTAACGTAAATTGCTGTCTTCAATTTTTGGCCTGCAAACACCTCAGTAGTAGTAGGAGGCGGGGTGGAGGAGGAGTGTAACGGAGGCAGACAAGAGACTTGCTATTGACCTATTTTCATTAAGGAATAAAATATTATATTTACATATTTTTATCCGTATTTATGGGCCAGTGGTTAACAAACACTGTTCTGATTGGTTGTTTGATGTTTTGAAGGTCGGGTATCTCCTGATTGGTTGTTGGTTTTTCAAAAGGTTGAAAGTATTCTGATTGGTTTTTAATTCACGATATAACGTGACCACTGGCGAATGCCATCCGTGGTTGATATTCAGTGTTGGTTTACAGAGATTCCTTAACCAGCATGAGATTCTGAAACCAATCAAGTAGCTGCAAGCCAACACTTGAATGTCAATCTGATGCTCACTAGTGACTAGCCGTATTCATCAGGTGGATAGGTACCTGGGTTTTAGTGAGAAGTATTGACAGGTAGGGGGGTATAGCAGATTAGAAGTAGGGACAAATTCTCGCCATGGGTGACACTGGCTGGTGCTCATCGCGCTGCAGCATGAATTAACAGAAGTTGGAATTCATGGAATGGTCATTGAGTTGGGTCCAAGTGCCTGAATGGTCTACAAGGTCGATTGGTAGCCGCAGGCTCGTGGGTTCGAACACTAGCAGTGGATATGTCCTGATGAAGAGAGTACCAAAGAATGAGAACAAAACGGGTGTTCCCGATTTTCAAGTGGTTCTTTAACCAATGTCAGTTTTTTTTTCCTTCACGTTCCCCACTGGAACATAGGGCTTCAAGCTAGTGGCTTGAAGTTTCTGTAGCAGTGTTTATTTTACAGCATGGGGTTGCTGTCCTCATGCTCAACCTTTCCTCTTCACCAGCATTATTTCTGGCTTAGCGAGGTAAAGGAGTGCGTCAGTTAATGATAATGAAATCCTGTAATCTCTCAAAACACATCCCTGAAGATCAACACTTAGTTGCTGATTTTGTGGAGGTTAAACTTTTGAGATTATTTCTTAATTACAATGTAAGTGGGGATGTGGATTCAAGAGACAAACGCCTGCATTTCTCCAACCACTGAATTAAAATGTTTTGTTTTCAGTTTTGGCTACTTCACATCAATCTGTGTCTATATACTACTGATGAATCTTGTTAGTACCACACGCCACAATAGTTGTACTAAACTGACATAGTCTTAATCAGAATTGATGTGGGTTACAGAAATATAGGAAGAAAAAAATCCCTATTTGGATAGTTAGAAGACGAAAGGAATGGGCGAAGAAATATGCATTCCTTCTCGATTAGTTCCTCATCATCGGCTGGCTCCACACTGATATGTTATTTTGTTTACACCAAAATTTTTATCAGTCAAGGGGTAATCCGTTAATCAGCTTTAGTTATAGGCGTGGTGGGTGAAATCAAGCGAATAAAAGTCATCAAAACAATTCACTAATAGATGTTAGTAATAAGATAACTATGTTTTGAAGGAGAGAGGGAGTGAAAATAAATCAATTACGGAATCCAAGTTAAGTTGATTCCTAGTAGTTAGCAACAAGTTATTACATAATCAAGAAATTTGTAAAATGGCAATAATGACTAGGAAGAATTACATAGAATACACACAAGTTAATAGAATTAGCTAGAATTGTAAAACATAAAAGTGGGAAGGGAGAAAATCGTTTTTAGAAACGTCATATCTATTATGTAGTTGGCCATGGCAAGGAAAGGAACTGTACAAGCTTCTTATAAATTGAAGTACAAATTTGGTTTGTTTAGATGAATTCTGTGGGCTTCTGCTGCATGTAAAAGTCGTATTCGTAGGTTTTTTGAAATATGGTGAATAACTTTAAAAGCTTTGTTAGAGTCGACTTGATATCCAGTCAGTATCGACAAGATGAGCTAGTATCGAGCTGCGCATTGCTTTATTCGGACCTTTGCCAAACCAAGATGGGAGGTGTTTAGAAATTCTACGATGACGAGGGGCTTACCTGGTCGTACGCCAAATGTAACTAGCTATTAACGAAGTGGTAAGCTTGTACATGCACATGGAAGAGGTGAAACAGGGCAGTTTGTCTTTATTTCCTGAACTAGGTGTATGGGCAGCGATAAGTTCGTTAACAATAATTAGTCACCATCAGTATTTCAAGAGTGTGGGGTGGGGGTAATTATCAACCAGAAAAAGTTATGCGAACAGTTAAACGGTAGAAGTGGTTAGAAAAAGTTGCTCATATAATGGACAATTTCGTAAAAAATCAAGTAATTTAGGAATAAGCAAGTGTTCAAGTTGATTGAAAGACTTAGGATAGGGAAAAGTAGTCAGATATGTACGTAGATTCATGTAACGAAGGATTGTCAAATTAAGGAAAAAGGCTGTACGAATTTCTTCTGAACACACGCAGATGTCTGCCTAATTCAGGTAAATTCTGATGACTTCAGCTATATATTTGGAAGACGAACTTATAAAGTAAAATTCAGATTAGTTAGAATGCGATGAACAACTTTAAATGCTATATTAACATCAATTTTATACTCACTGTGTACGAAATATGCTAAAACACAGCTATCGATGGATCTTGTCTATCCCTTGCTTAACCATCCAAGACGATGTTTGAAAACACAATGATGAACCTACTCAACAATATGCCAAATATAGGTTGATCTGCAGAGTAGTCAAATT